CGAGGCCGAATCTCAATCACAAAAACCACTCCTTCAATGTTTTAAAAGTGACTAAGTGCATCCGCACGAAAACCTAAACCTGAAACCTGAAAAGAAGGAGATGAATAAATAAACGCCAGCGCGCCGACGACGAACACGAAAAACCAAAAAAAAAGAAAAACGAGCTCGAAAGAACGACAAAAACGAGTAAGACGAGAGCGACGGCAACTTATTTTCGAAAATGCTAAGCTGCGTATCACAGCAAATTGACTGCGTACATATAGGTGCACCGAACCCCTCCCATTTTGTGCGCCGGACCCCTCCCATTTTGTGCGCCGAACCCCTCCCATTTTGTGCGCCGGAGGCCTCCCATTTTCTGTGCCGGAGGCCTCCCATTTTTTGTCCCGGACCCCTCCGATTTTCTGCTCCGCGGCTCTTCCAAATCTGGCGGACTCGCGGCGGGCAAATCTCTGCGCCGCGACTCCAGCAAATCTGGCGTACTTGCGGCGGAGAGATTTGCAAGCCCGCCGGAGGGGTCCGATCTGCCTTCTTCGTAACGTCACAAGAAGAGACCGCTTTCTCGCCCCGCTCTCATTGGTCAACTGGGTCCGCCGCGGCTCTGGCAGATTTCGACTGTCCGCCGGAGGGGTCCGATCGACTGTCTGAGTTGTTATACTTCCAGCGTCCTCGGGATCCCAGCCGCCACGCGATCTGGCAGTTTGCCACTCTGCAAATCAGCACTTGTGGATAATGTGCATAGGCGCACAGCTTTTGTGAGCTCGTGCGTTCATGCCAAGCTTATACACAAGATGCGCCTACGCAAAAATATTAAGAACAATCGTTGATTCGAAACGGTATGACCGGTGCCTTGAACGGTGATCGACACCACTCACCTGTGATTTTATTCACAACAGAAAACGACAAATTAATTGTTTTATCATTTCTCTCGAAAAGTAATGTCGCCAGACAAGCCGCAACATTGTTGGGGCTCTCCAGCTAGGCACATACATAAAGCTCACTATAATATGCGAGTCAATGTGTGCGATTGAAAGATTTTGTAAGCATCGGTAACGCTAAACCGCACATATTTTCGTTCCACACGCCACAGGCCTACACCACTCTCAGAATGTGCAATTTCCGGGAATTCCGCGAAATTCCAGCAATTTCGCGAAATCAACGCGTTCACACAAACTACGCAGCGCCATAACTTCCTTCGGAATGAATATATTCTGAATCCGGAAGCAGCATTGTGTTCAGCTCGTCAAGGCGAGTCTTTCCGTGTGCAGCATGTCCTCAATATTCCGTTTCCAGTTTTCGCAAATTTTTCTGCGGAGGTCCTTTCACAAGGGTGTAACGCAGCGCCTATCCAACGTAAAAGATGCCTGTAAGTATTATTCGATAGTACTCCTTCTGTAGATTACGGAACCTTAAAGAGTAGCCGCAGACTTCTTTCCAAAAGAGATAAAAGTGCTGGTGAATTCTGGAAAAATCACGCGTTTCTAAATTCTACGCCATAACTTCCTTTGGAATAAACATATTCTGAATCGGCAAGAAGCACTGTGCTCAGCTTTTCAAGACGAATCTTTCCATGTACAACATGCCCTTTAACTTTTGATTTCAGCATTCTGCAGTCTCTCTGCGGACGGCTTTTCGCATAGGTGTAAAGCAGCGCGCATTGCCCCTAGTAGATTCGAGCAAGGAAATTTCGATAGTACTTCTTCTGTAGATTATGAAGCGCCAAAGAGTAGCCGCAGACTTCTTTCCAAAGGAAAAAGGGCTGATGAATTCTGGAAAAATCATGTCGTTCTGAATTTTGATCACCATAACCCTAAATGAAGCTCTCTTTCTTAACGGATGTGATTTTCGTAATCAGCAGGTCGGATAACCTCTATGAGCAAGTTTTCCGAGATGTTCGGCTAATTTCATTTTTTCTCTTTTACGCTCTAATGCTCATCGGTAGATTAAGGTCAAAATGTTGGTAATCTTCGATTGTACGAAAACTTCGCTTATAGAGGTTAATCTTTAAGGGGATAAAGGGTCTTTTTGCAGAGATATGGTGAGGTAACTGTAACTGAGTCACGAAAATTCGTAAATTCGCCTGCACTTCTCGCGTATATTCCAGAAAACTTGACTGCTTGCTTTTATGGGTTAAAGTTACTAGGAACCGTACTAGTGAGTGCTTGTCTCAGGCCCCAGTCTATGAAAGTCACCGATTTACGAGCCCACGAAAAACGTCCTCATGAATTTTGCCCAGATTGTAATGATCGCACACTTCGTCGAAACTCCGCCGTAAGTTTTCTGCGACATTCTGGTTGCTAATATTATGTTATATATCAACATTATGTTCACTTCGCTCAGGGGATCCTTACTGAATATAGTGGTTGCGTGTGCTTCAGCTGCTTAACTGAATATCAGAGCAGTTCCGTAGCCAGAGCTCAGATCTATGTAACCACCAAATCCAATGCAGAAAGATCCATTAAGCGATGTGAAAAGATTCAATCAATGTGAACCACTCAAGGTGGTTTCGATTAAGTATGCGATCTTCACATTCTGAGCAAAATTCAAGAGGACGTGTTTTCGTGGGCTCGTAACTCGGCGACTTTCACAGACTGGGGCCTGAGACAAGCACCGCTCAATAACACGGTTCAGTAACTTTAACCCATAAACGCAAGCAGTTAAGTTTTCTGGAATATACGCGAGAAGTGCAGGCGAATTTATGAATTTTCGTGACTCAGTTACAGTTACCTCACCATATCTCTGCAAAAAAAACCTTTATTCCCCCAAAGATTATGATTTTCGTAAACAGAGGGTCCGAAACTCTCTATAAGCAAAGTTTTCGTACAATCGAAGATCATCAACATTTTGACCAAAATCTACCGACGAGCATTAGAGCGTAAACGAGAAAAAATGAAATAAGCCGAACATCTCGGAAAATTTGCTCATAGAGGTTATCCGATCCGCTGATTACGAAAATCACATCCGCTAAGAAAGAGAGCTTCATATTTTAGGGTTATGGTGAGTAAAATTCAGAACGACATGATTTTTCCAGAATTCACCAGCACTTTTATCTCTTTTGGAAAGAAGTCTGCGGCTACTATTTAAGGTTCCCTAATCTACAGAAGGAGTACTATCGAATAATACTTACAGGCATCTTTTACGTTGGATAGGCGCTGCGTTACACCCTTGTGAAAGGACCTCCGCAGAAAAATTTGCGAAAACTGGAAACGGAATATTGAGGACATGCTGCACACGGAAAGACTCGCCTTGACGAGCTGAACACAATGCTGCTTCCGGATTCAGAATATATTCATTCCGGAAGTTATGGCGCTGCGTAGTTTGTGTGAACGCGTTGATTTCGCGAAATTCCTGGAATTTCGCGGAATTCCCGAAATGTCCCGGAATTCCGGGAATGTCGCGAAATTCCCGGAAATTTTGCATCTGAGAGTGGTATTGTATAGCAGGGCTCGGCGCGAGATGGCACCAGGGAAAATTCAAGACGAAGTCCCCTTTGATCTGTTTTGAAAACCCGTCATTATTTATAGATTCTGTTAAAAATACGTGATAGGGTTTTACGCATGCTGATGTCAATGAACAACTTTCAAAAGTTTTCTCAGTTATCAAATGGTTCAATCACAACTTGAGAAGCAGTGAAAAAGCAATCGCCACAGTTTACCTGAAACTTGTGAAAAAAGCATGATTCTCAGTTTTTGCCTTATTCGGTTTCGTTCAATTTTCCTTCAATCAATCCATTCATATCAAATACTGCTTTCACATTAAGTGTTCTTGTAATAGTGCAGTCACAGAAAATCAAGCGAATCAATCAAAAATTCAAATTTAGGACAAGAATGTCTTCCAGAATGTCGCACTCTGAGGTAGAGGTGAAGAGGAGGAAGACCTGGTCTCCACGCAAGCTGATTTCATTGAGTAACTCCTCACAAGTTCATTTACTATTTGCTTGCATTTGCTTAGAGCGCGCTTTGTGACTGGAGCATTTTTTGACTGCGGAGCAGATTGAGAGATTTTGAAATGGCCATAAAACGCCGAAAAAACTTATGGAATTGTTGTTTTTTCTGCTTAGGTCTTACAGTGTAGAACAATTTACGTCGCGTTTTAAAATGCCGTCTTTGAGGTACTCTTAGAGATATTCGCATCGACCTGATATTTGGAAGCATTTGAGTTTGTTAGCGAATATTTTGGTGAATTTAACCTTATCCCATGATTTTTGTAGCGTTTGTGTGAGTATAGGAAGAAACACTTATTTTAGAGTTCATAAAAGAATGAAACTTTTTCACTCACTTGTTACCTTAAAATACGCTAAGGAACACATTCTCAAAAAATCGCAGTCAAAAATGTACAAATAGGTCAAAAATGGGCTTACCAGCTCACCTTGCTGCTGGGAGTAAAATGGTCTTTCAAGTCTATTTAAAATGAAGGTAAAACCCATTTTGCCCCTTTCGCATGCACCGCTTTGCCTCGTAGTTGCGATGAGATGGTTATTTTGGATACCGCTAGCGCAGCAGATTCCGACCAGTTTCTCGAACGAATGAAGTGGGGTTTGAAAGTTTATTTTCCTCCATTATGGACTTTCGTGGATATCATGCCAGGAATTCAGACTAGAAAAGCAAAGGAAGTTTAAATGAGAACTTTCAGAAAAGATTTCTGGAAGGCCTACTTCTTTGCAGAGTAGGATGCTAATCAAAGTTACAAGAGTTCTATCGCTATAAGTTTTCTTGCTTTTGCATAACTTGATAACGATCCTTTTTACTTTTATAGAGGAACTGCTGTTGCAAATTAGCGGCTTGTATGATTTTGACTTAAGAGTCTCAAGCATGTTATTTAAGCCCGTTCAAAAAAGGCGATGTTGCTACCAGGATACTGCAAAAGCGACGTCAAACACAGTGATCGAAAGGGCTTTTCGTGGAAATTTGGAAAATCGAGGAACTGTAGAGAGACAAAATCATCTTCACTTTACCGTAGCATTTGCAGCGAGAAGGCGAAAAGCGTGGTGCAACTGTACTTACCATGTCATTGTATGTGGCCATTCCAAAACTCATGCGCTTTGTCATATTCGGTAGCGCAATGGTTTCATTCCCAACCGGATTATATATTTCTACTTCGTCTGTACCAGATGCACCGCCTGGAATGGTTTTGAGCCTAATTCCATTCAGTACAGCGCTGTAGTGTTTCAGAATACAAACCTGCTACGAAAAAGTACGGCGAGCGAGGGCACTTACGACGATTGCCAGGTTGCGGTGAGGAGATGCGGCATTGCAGCAAATGGAAGTCTTTTGCGTCCTCCACCTTACAAACTCAACCAATCACAGAATCCCCACCGTTCCCATCCCATCGTCTGTATTAGCTTACCATATCCCTGCTTTCCGGATTGCCTCGAACAAGAGGATGACGTCCGACTTCTTGGGCAAGAAAAGCTGGTTCCAGTAATTGCAAGCGAATACATTTCAAGATTCTAGGATACCGGGATCAATAAATTATGTGCACAATTCAACAAATTTACATTGTTGCTTTCTTGAAGCAGATTAAGCTAGTGGTCTACTTGAAGGGCGGATTGAACTCTATCGTGAATTCACTAAATTTCCAAAAGTTCTCCGGCTTAGAAATCTCGGATCGGAACGTTACAACTTTAATCAAAATCAACATTCATTGATAGTTTGGTTCAAGAGCAACTAGAAACATGGTATAACTTTGGAAGCAGAGGTGCGATAGGTGGAGCCGGGCCCCCCAAAAGTGAAGGTGGTTCCAGTTACCACTGGCCGGCCAAAAGTGAAGGTGGTAGTGTCGGACACTCACCTCCCAAAAACGTTGACCGGGGGGGGGGGGTAGGGGGAGGGAGGACTTCGGATAACTGAAGAACTCTCATCTAATGGCCCCTAGGGCCAACAACTGTGACCTAACGGCCCTCTTTAGGGCCACAAATACGATGACTACAGCGCATAAAAATAAAAATAAAGTAAACTGTTAGTCAAAAGGTCTATTTGTAAGTAAAACCCAGCTAGACTTTGTGTGTTTCATCAAGTACATTTTGTTATGACGTACTGCAAAGAAAGTAGGTCGATCCAGGCAATAACCGCCGAGAACCAGGATTTCGAATAATAAAATAATGAAAAATCGTGAAAAATCATTCCACTGTTACAAATCTGCTGGCTGAAGACCTCCGCAGTTGCGACTTCATAGGTTTTGAAGGGTAAGTATTGTTTTACCAGACAGTGAAAAAATCAGTTTGATTTGAGGAGTGGCCGCCGAGAACGGGAATTTTGAAAAACCTTAAAAATCTGCTCAATTTTAGGTTGTTTAATGACAACTGACATTTAAACTATCATAAATCCGGACTTTGAAGGTGTGTGATGTTGCGACTTCATAGGTTTTGTAAAGTGAGGTTTGCCTTATCAGAACATGTCTTAGCTGTGCCGATCCATTGAAACGTCGCCGAGATCCAGGCTCCTAAAGAAGCGGGCAAAAAACCGTTTTTCAGCTCATAACTTCTTCAAAATTGCATGAATCATGTTGCGACTTCATAGGTTGGATTCTCCTCATCAAGAGCTTTCAGATGATATATAATATGTGGGGGGTTCACGCCTTCCACGGCATATGCCCGGGGGTGGAGTACCTCTCTTCACTAATTCTCCACTGGCGGCCTCCCGCCAATACATTGAAATGGGCGGGGTGGAGAATTAGTGAAGAGAGGTACTCCACCCCCGGGCATATGCCGTGGAAGGCGTGAACCCCCCACATATTATATATCATCTGAAAGCTCTTGATGAGGAGAATCCAACCTATGAAGTCGCAACATGATTCATGCAATTCTGAAGAAGTTATGAGCTGAAAAACGGTTTTTTACCCGCTTCTTTAGGAGCCTGGATCTCGGCGACGTTTCAATGGATCGGTACAGCTAAGACATGTTCTGATAAGGCAAACCTCACTTTACAAAACCTATGAAGTCGCAACATCACACACCTTCAAAGTCCGGATTTATGATAGTTTAAATGTCAGTTGTCATTAAACAACCTAAAATTGAGCAGATTTTTAAGGTTTTTCAAAATTCTCGTTCTCGGCGGCCACTCCTCAAATCAATCTGATTTTTTCACTGTCTGGTAGAACAACACTTACCCTTCAAAACCTATGAAGTCGCAACTGCGGAGGTCTTCAGCCAGCAGATTTGTAACAGTGAAATGATTTTTCACGATTTTTTATTATTTTATCATTCGAAATTCTGGTTCTCGGCGGTTACTGCCTGGATCGACCTACTACATAGATATATGCTCTTAATACTTTCTTTTACATTCCTTTTGCTTATTTTCCTTCTTTTGAGCTTCAGCAAAAAAACTTTTTCAAGCCGAAAAGTGAAGGTGGTCACCCTGTACCAGCTCAAAAGTGAAGGTAGGCGGAGAATCGGCTCCGACTATCGCACCTCTGTTTGGAAGAAGTGAGTATGAAAGAAGAGAAAATTTGGAAAACTTCACAATTCATTGAAATCATCTTGACATACCATTGTTTCCATATGGATAAGCAAACAATTTGGCAGCCATCATTGAAGCCTAAGTTCTGAAGATTGATTATGTTTTGTCTTTGCTTTTTCTAGAGCAAACCGAAAACATCCACTTTATGAGCCCTACCATTGATTGCCAACTTTTGATGATTATTTCTCACTTAATGCAAACGAAAGAGCTAGCTGGCTGTTGGTTCTGTTTGCCCTCGCTTCACTCTAACATTTCTATACTGTTATACATCACTTGTCGCTATAAGATTGTTGTCTCTCGTAGAATAACTGACAGATTCTTCAGTTTTTGGAGTTTTTTCTATGTCGGAGTAAAAATGTAAAAATGCCATCACATCCCTAACCACTATAAAATTTCACATAATTGATTATTCAAAAATGAGAAGATTTCCTCCAGAGAACCTTTTTCTTAAGCATGTGCCTTTGGCTAGGTTTGATATTTCATCATGGGAGTTATTATCATCAAAAATTATTGAGTGGTAACAGAATCAACGCAGTTTTGCACACCTCTTTTCAAAACGCTGGTTCAGGATAAAACTCACTTGTAAAAAGCTTTGGGTATCAACTGCAAACAATTTTCTTCTAGTTTCTTAGACGAATTCAATAGTGCGAAATCAAATACTGTTCTTGTTCTTTAGCGGCAAGAAAATTTAAGAATAGCATCTCAGGGACTCGCGCCGTGCGGGCGGCCAGCGACGACCTTACAATCGCTCGTCGGTGTGTGCGATTGTACGGCCCTCACCATCACTCTTAATAACTGTAGCCTCACACAGGTTCATTCCAGCCTTGCTGGTGAAAGAAAATGTTGATAACACGATGTATCAACGCTTAGCCAGCCTAAACACTGCGTCGTATCTCACGCAGGTACCGTTAACGCTCACAATGTGTGAAAATAGTGAGCAGAAAATAGAGGTCACTGTTGGCCGTTTGCACGGCAACATGTATTGCCGACCGATAAGACGGACGCATTGCTGGCCGCTCGCTCGAATAACTCTTTTGCATGTCGTTTGCACGGTAACATTGCCTGCCGCTAGGACGGCGCTTCAACTGTTTGCCGCACGCACGGAGGCTTTAGGCTTATGTCGACCGCTTGTACGCTAGCCCTTATAGGAGGACCGCTCGCACGGCGCGAATCCCTGAGATAGAAAGCAATTCTTGCCTTTCCAGAGTACCTAATTAAGAATTTGCAATATTCTCTAGCACTTAAGGCGCTGCACAACTAACTATTCTTCATACAATGCAAACCTCGTGCTAGATACTACATTTGAAATAAATTATAGTCTATCGAATTGAAGCTTTTCCGAAAAAGCTTCGGGCACTTTTTGCCTATGAAACTTTCTCAGTAAAGCTACATCGACATAGTAGCGCACCAAACGCGAAAGATTTGCTAGTTAAATAAATAGTTGCAAGAGTTTTTATTGCAAAGGGAATTGTCATTTTTGCCAAAAGTTAAAGTGATCCGTATTTAGAACATGAAAATTTGCATAAATTCTGTTACCATCTGATAGTGAGCGCTAAAAAAAAGCAAGAGAAGTGGCTCTACAAGGCGCTTATAACGCCGCAGTAAGCATAAAAATAGAAAAGTTGCGTCAAACAAGGTAATAAAAAAATAGGACAGAACTTTCGGGCAACCTAGTAGTTTTTGCGATTATTACACTTATAATTGGGTTCTTCTTGCAAATGCACCCGACGGACCGGCTGTTAAGCGAATTGTTTCGAGAAAAGTTTATCGTTTGTGTTTTCTCGACTGCGAACTGTTACAGAAGCCAATACGCATTAGTTAAGCATCTTTAGATAGCATTAAGTCATCCAGAAAATTCTTTCATTTTGACCCTTGACTCAGAACGTCATAACATCATTTAAAACCAACCGTTTCATTCAAATTAGAACCTGGTAAAAAAAATTTGATGGCGGTCAAATCGCTGTCATACTATTCTGCTCTAATCGCACAGCCACATCTTACAAGGTTATAGCGTACAAAAACAGAATCAAAATCGCTTGTATCCATCACCCATCTGAAGTGACTGCTTGTGCGTGACATGCGTCCGATCTCTAGTAATGATATGTCAGGATGTCAACTCTTATAAAGACCGAGGGTCCATTCGCTGTGGATAACCGTCCAAGCCAAGGAACTCTTTGGGATTTTGAGCAAAGAGGGCAAAGTCAACGCACTCTACATTACAAATCCGACAGTGTGGCATATTCACTGGGAATCTTTTGCATTGCAGCTTTCGCGAAAATGCTCTATAAGGCCCATAAGTGCGATAGGGGGAGCAGAGTCCCCTCCAGGTGGTTTTGGCTATTTCCACCTAGAAAAGTGAAGGGGGTAACTGAGCTTTGAAGACAGTGTGCGGGCAAGATCCACCCACTCAGATTAGCACATAGTTGTGAAGGGCCCCTGTGTATCCGATCTGTGTTGGTCCGATCCTTTGACGTGGCCTCTAAAAGGAGATAAGAGATACGGGCTTGTGATACGTATTATCATAAACCGCCCCTCGTACCACAAACCTCCCCCTGGTTGCAGCTCCTCCTCGGTGGCGAGCCGGAGGAGGGGGGGGGGAGGTGGATAAACAATCCGAAACTCGTCCGCGCCCTCAAAACAGGGTCCTCCGAAATTGAGGTTTTTTTAAGGGTTTTCGACAATTTAAACTTTATAACTGTAACCAGAGCCACGGAAATGCCCTAGAACAACAAAAACAAGAGAGGCGAAACTCTGCCCGGACGCTGCCTTTATGATAGATGCTGACATGCCGATTGGGACTGGGAGTGAAAAGAAAAAGAATAAGTGGTACAGAGGCGTGGTATGAAGAATTACTGAATGTTTTGGCTTCAAAAGGTCTTCGAATGGAGGTTTTTTTTGAATCAGGGGAGCTCTATATCTTATCAGTCGCATAGCATTCGAAAGCTTGGGACTTATAAAATCGATGCAGACGTCTCTTTTTTTTCAGCTCTTC